TTTATGAAAATTAATAAAATATAATTATAATTAAAAAAAAACAAAACAAAAAAAAGCCAACATTTTTTAACTCTCCCCTCCCAGCTGCACCTCAAGAGTAAATATGGCATAAATTGTTTATGGGCAATTCTCCTATGTTCTAGAGTCAACTTAATGAAATGAGTATTATTTCTCTCTCTTTTTTCAATTTCAATATAAAATCCATGATGCAGAGACAATGCAAAGTTCTCCTTCCATAGTGTTGACATGAGATTTAAGAAAATTTGGTAAAATTAAAAGGAAAAAAAAAATTAAAATTTTAATTTAAGCCCTTGGTACCATCCTTTAAAACAGGACCTAAAATGGATGCATATAATTAAAAACTTTTTAGTTCAAAACTCTTCTCCAGAAAGTTAACTCTGATGAGCCCTTCATTAATCACTGCACAACTCCTGCAGTGCATTTTTAGTATTATGAAAAGGTGGCTGCCCACCAAAGGCAGGCAGTGCCAATCCACCAGCCGCTCCCAGAGAAGAAGGTGGGTAATCTTCTCCTGTAAGACTAACTCCCTCTGAAAACCTGCTGGAGGGTCAGCTCAGAGCTGGTTCTGATTTTGCAGTACATAATGACAACAACAATCGTACTGCGAAGGTCTGGTGGCCTAGTCCACAGAGAGCTGAGCAGCTAACCCAAAACATCCCTCTGGCAGTTCAAATACATAAGTGACTCTGAGGGAGAAAGATGGTCAAATATTCTCCCTAGTGACTTGTAGCCTTTGAAATCTGTAGCCTCTACCTATGAGCATCTACTGTAAGACAGCAATGAGTTTGAAATTTTTTTAATCATACTTGACTACTCATGCTTAATAACCATTTATTAATTTAGTTATTACTCGTCTTCCTGTCAAACATTCTTCTAGGTGGTATAGCACTGGTCTGTGCATTGCTGTACAGAGGTAACTCGTGGTTGCTGTGATGCTGAAGACTGTGACAGTGATGTGCCAATCACGGTAACGGGTACCCATGGTGGACAGTGTTGGCTGGAGCTTCCCGACTAAATCAAGCCTGGAAGCAGGAGCAGCATCCACTTCCCAAATGGCTTGCCTCCGGAAACTCTACGTACGAACAGTGCTCAGGCCGTTCGTTCATAGGGTTGCTATGAGTCGTCTATGACTCGACGGCATCAAACAACAACAACCCAAAAACACTTAGGGTGGGCCATTATCTACCTCAGAATATTGGGGTAGATAATGGCAATATCTGGGAAAGCTAGAAATTTAAGACAGAAAGTCAGATCACTTTCACTCAAAACAAGCATAAGAATATATGCCAATGAACAAAAATGCCTTTGATAATGACGATAAAGACAACTAACAAGACACTGTTCCATGTTAGGAGTATTATGTGAACATTCTATACTCTATGCTGAAGATCATGAGGGCAAAGAGGGAGCTTGAATAGTCACAAGGTCTAGAAAGACAATAAATGCACTTAATGATGTTCTTCCCCCTCTGCTTTCTGTGTTGGCATACAAGTGTGTGTATGTGTGTACTAGACGTCTTGTCAAACACAGCAGCTGCTTTTAAGTCAATTCTGACTCTAGCAATCCTGTGTGTGTCAGAATAGAGCTTGTGCATACCATAAGTTTTCAATGACTCTGATCTTTCAGAAATAGACTGTTGGTCCTTTCTCATGAGTTATCACTGTTGTTTTTGTTGTTATGAACCATTGAGCTGGAACATATTCATAGGTGACCTGACCCTCAAAGAGGTTTTCAGAGGCATAAAAGATATTCTCCTTCACACAAACTAACGAAGTGTTTTTGTGACTTCCAGGAGACCTAACTATGAAATATCCATAAATTCCCAACAAAAACAGTAAAGTATTTTTAGCTGAACTTACTGTTCCTTTTCCTCAGGCTTTGCAATGGGTCCCAGTGCTACAAACAATTTTACAAAACTAGCAGGATCATCACACAAAGGAATCATTTCCTTTAACTTCTGTTCAGCCATTCTAATAAATTCAAAACTATGAAACTGTAGAGACTGGTATAGACTAAGTATTTTACTAATGGTATCCAAATCAAGCTCCTTCATATTGCCTAAAAATACTTTGTTGCACCTCTCTAAGAGTGGGTAATGGTTATATTTAATATTTCGAAGAAAGTGTACTATTCTTCTTGAAATGTTGACGTGGGAAGGATCTACAGTGTCAAAAAGAAGCACTGCTTTGTTCAGTAATCTTTCTTGAAAACGATGTGATATTAAAGAAGATGTGCTGACCATCAATACAGATAAGGCCCTGAAAAACAAAAAACAAATATACTTGTGTTATTTAGGAGTATTGACCAAATATGAGATTAAATGATTAACTATGGAATGTAACTGGGAAAAAGATAATAGCTTTTAAACCATGACATTTAAATAAACAAAAAACAAAAAAAAAAAAAAACACAAAACCATGACATTTATTTTACCAGTATAGGTGGGACTTGAAGTGAGATCACCTAGAAACAGAACCCTTTTAGACAAAGCTTACAAAAATGACAATTGTCATTGCCTGTGTGAAATACTTCAAGTTTCAATCTCTGAAATGAATTTTTCTGCTGTTGGTGGAAAATATATTAGTAAAAATTACTTAGAAATCATTCTGGACCAATATTCATTCCATGAAGATAACATTCAAGTTTCATTTGAAGATTTTAGGAGTTGATTTCACTTTATCTCTCCTGTCTCAGTATGTTTCTAATTTAGTAATAAAAATCCAGTAATTCAAATGCACCATCTGCCCTGCAGTAGAAGGATGAGCAATTTCCTCTCACGCTATTTACTGTCTGTGAAAACCCACTGGAGGATCAGCTACATGTTGGTTTTGACTCAACAGCACACAAGAACAATAAAAATTTTGACAAAACAATTTCCACTAATGAATTATTTCAGTATTTCTTAGTTCACATGTCAGATTTATACTAATAAATTATGGTGAGATAGTACAGAAAACAACATGACATTTCATGTTTCTCCATTCAACAAACACTTAAGGAAAATCACTCTGTTAGGAACTGAGAATCCTTGCTCTCAAAAGATTGATCTTCTATAGTACAAATATCTGGAAGCAGGAGTGGCATCCACTTCCTAAACAACATGCCTCCAGAAACTCTATGAACTTTGATAAATGTTGATAGCTGTAGAGGGGCTTCAGGCCTTTTGTTCCTAGGGTTGCTGTCAGTCATGCTCGACTCGAAGGCAATCAACAATACAAACGTGAGATTTTTTTATTATTGTTTACCCTTTTATAAGCTACTTGCTCATTTCAAGTAAGTAAGAATAATAAATGATGTGCCAGAAACTACTACTTCTAAGCAATATGATTTTTCAGAAAACTTAGATTCAAGTTCTTGCTGGCTGAGCTCTCAGGCCACTTTCTTAACCTCAGGAAGCAACAGTTTTTCCTCAGGAAAATGGAGGCATGAATACTTTGTTGCAGAGATTAAATTAGATAAGTAGTCATACTCACATTTTTGTCCTTCTTTATTGACACAACTGCTGCTTTTATTTTCACTTCAGATCCTTACCCTATCTATTATGCAAAACCTTCCTGCCCTTAACATTTTCCTAAATTTTAATCAGTTCTTATTATTAGTTCTCTCTCTCCAATCTTACTTTTGCAATCCCACTGAAAAGAACAATGACATTTTTATAAATAGTTTTCCTAGATTCTCTTTCAATCATCAGTATTTCATAACATTAGAGTTAACCCAACCAGAAGAAGGTACTAAAAAAATACTCTCTATAGGATAAAAAGAAGTCAGACTCAAAAAGATAAGTGAAACTTAAAAAGCTAAGCCAGCTTAAGAAAGTAAGTAAAATTCTCACTATTAATGACTTTAGCAATGTCAATCCATCAATTTAAAAAATGCTACTTCCAATAACACTTCAAAACATATTTAAGCTCTACAGGGGTTTTACCTAAGAAACATTACTTTTTCTTTAAAACATGGAAAGCTTTATTATATGCATGCACTGAAAGAGATTATGATAATATAACAAATCTTTAAAAGTTCCTCTATAGCTAGAATTTTAAAGACTTTTTTTTTAGTGGAAAATGACAAGTCGATTCTAAAGCTAACATAATCCCCCCCAAGAAGAAAGATCATTGTAAGAATATATAGTCCTTAAAGAGACCTAAATATATATGGCCAAATAATTTTTTGAAAGCAATTCAATGGAGAAAATAAAGTCTTTGTAACAATTTGAATTTAAATAACTATATATCCATATGAAAAGAAATAAAAACCTTTTATCTCTACTACAAACCTTACAAAAAATTAATTTGAAATGGCTCATAGACTTAAACATAAAAGTTAAACTCTAAAGACACTTCTAGAGGATAGGAAAATATTTTTGCAAACTTTATAAACAGGTAATACAAACCATAAAGAAGGAAATTAAAATCTCATCATCAAATGATACCATTAAGGATATTAATGGGAGAGAGCATGAGTCTAGAGAGAATACTGACAATGCATATCTAACAAGAGATTTCTAGCTAGAGTACATAAAGAACTCCTAAAAGTCCTGTAAACAGTCTAACTTTTAAAAATAGGCAAGACTTGAAGAGTCACAAAAAAATTATATATAAATGACCATTATTGTTTTTGTGTGTGTTGTCAAGTCAGAACCAACCATAGCTGACCATCCAGCGGGTTTTCAGCACAGGAGTAGACAGCCTATCTTTTTCCCACAGGCAACTAGTGGATTTGAACCACACTGGGGATTGCAGGACAGCTTCTTACCATTAGGCTTGCAGAGCTCATACATGACAATAAGTATAAGAAAAAGTACTGAGGAGCAATGATGTCAGTCTGGAGACTAAAGTGTGCCTGATATGGAGGTTTCAAAAGAAAAGAGAAAAGCAGGTGACAAGAGTAAAAGGGTTCTTGCTGTTGTTGCGTACCATCGAGTCAGAGCAACCCACAACTAACCTTCCAACAGGTTTTCAGTATCAGTAAATCACACAGGAGTGCTCCCATGGAGCAGCTGGTGGATTTGAACTGTGTGCCTTTGGGTCAGCAACACAACTCCTTACCACTAAGCCACGAGTGCTCAGAAGAGGATAGGAAACTCTTTAATATTTTATAAAAGTATCAGTCAAAAGTAATGTGCTGGAAAAGCTGATCTGAAACACCAAATACTATCATACCACTGGGACATGATGGCTAAGCATTAAGAGTAAGTCATCTTCTCTTGCCTGAGAAAAACAAAAACAAGACAAAAAGCCACTGCTCGGAGAGCCAGACTCTTCAAATGTTTTCAAATTAAGAGTCCTTCAACACATAACTGATACAACTATCTATTTTCTTTCTGAAAATAAATAGAAGAAAATATCCTCAGTAGGAATATAAAATAACATTAAAAATTTCATTAATTCATGTTTAATATTTCTTTGGTTTACTTCAATATGTAATAATAATTCATCACTTCATCACCTTGGAGTTGGAACCACACAAAGCAGTCAGCAGCTCTTCAGAGGCTGTAAATGAACAGGGGTTCTCCCGCTGAGCTAGTAGAGGATTCGAACCAGAGATGTATAGCCTCTGGGTTGGCAGTACGATTCCCTTCAGACTATTCCACCAGATCTCCCCTTCACTTCGAAGGAGCTAGTACTATTTCCATTTCATAAATGAGGCTACTGAACTTCTGAGTTAAATAAATAAGCCGAATCACAACTGCTGTTGTTTACTGTTGAATGAGAACCAAATTACAGAGCTGACCGCACAGCAGGTTTTCGGAGGCTTTAAATCGCATGGAAGGAGACTGTCCATCTTCTTCTTGTGGGAGCAGCTGGTGGACTCCAACTGAATGCCTTTGGCAGCGCAACTTATTACTGGACCACCAGAACGCCCTAATCACAGCAAGGGAGTAGAATATCTATATGCATCAGTAACAAAGCCCAGGATCTTTTCATAACAACACAAAGACTTAAAAATATATTTACCTTAAGTCCTCTACTGTTTCCAATTTACTGTTTAGAATTTCAGCTATTTTTCCCATTAGTGGACTAAAACGCAAGTGTTGATCTACTAAGCAAGTGGAAAATTTTGACAATGTCTTAAGATCAAACCTATTGAAGAAAAAAATAATCATTAATATTTCCTTTTACTTAAAATATGTAAGTTATAAAGTAAAGCACTAAAAAAGTTACTCTTTACAGACAGAAAATAATTTTTCTAAAAACATTATTAACATGAAACACTGTCATAGTTAACTTTATTATAAGGAGACTAAAAAGAAAAAATAATCCAAAATCATGTATTTATCTATTGATACCTGAGGTAATACAACAATTTCAACTCAACACTGTATATTAACAAAAAAGCCTCACCAGGAAAAACTTCCAAATTTTTATATAAGGAAAAGGATCTAATTTCTTCAACAAATAAATTATAATAGATGAAATACCTAGTAAAGACTTTAATTCATTAAAACACAAGTAAAACAAAAAAAGAAACTTGAAAGCAATTCAAATGTTTGCCACAAGTACAAGAATTATACATACTTATTATACAACAGATGAAATTGTTGTTGCTACGTGCCGTCGAGTCGTTTGCGACTCATAGCGACCCTATGTACAACAGCCCTAAAC